ATATATATATATATATCCCCTTCAAATAGGGTCCTGTATAAAGGGGAGAAAACTTCAACTCTCTTGGACACAGGACAACAGATGACAGACAGCCCTTCTCTTCTCAAAAAAAAGCAAACCTCAACCCAGCTATTCCTTTAAAAAGATGTCAGTTAGTGATCAACTCTGGAGAGAAAGCCATACCACTGAGGCAGTGAAGTACTACAAAAACATTTGTTTTATACAACTCAGCATTTATACCAAGGAGCTGATGCATCTCTGAGCAAATCCATAAAACTACCTGAATAAAGTATTATAGCAATATATTGTATCCATGTGTATATTTTAACTTTTATTAGTATTCCCCATTATGAAAAAACCCATCCCCCGAAAGTAAATCTCCACCAATCTCTACCATTAATAAGAATGTCAAATAAATCTGTTACTTCAACTCTAAAATGGGAAGGTTGGACATTGTCACTGTTTTTAAAGCTCAAGGGAGAAAAAGAAGCCACTAACAAATACTTTTAAAAAGTTATGGCAGGGCCGGGCGCGGTGGCTCAAGCCTGTAATCCCAGCACTTTGGGAGGCCGAGGCAGGTGGATCACGAGGTCAAGAGATCGAGACCATCCTGGTCAACATGGTGAAACCCCGTCTCTACTAAAAACTACAAAAAATTAGCTGGGCATGGTGGCGCGTGCCTGTAATCCCAGCTACTCAGGAGGCTGAGGCAGGAGAATTGCCTGAACCCAGGGGGCGGAGGTTGCGGTGAGCCGAGATCGCACCATTGCACTCCAGCCTGGGTAACAAGAGCGAAACTCCGTCTCAAAAAAAAAAAAAAAAAAAAGTTATGGCTTCCCACCTCACCCTACTGCATGCTGCCCAAAACAAAAGGAGAATGTATGGTGACTACTGAAAATATGTTGCCAAAATAAGTAAATAAATAACCTCCCCAAAGTATTCTTCCCTTTTTCTCCAATAAGTTAGAAAACTACTGGATTATATAATTGCTAAATACATCCCAGGCCCAAGATGACATACTATAATTTTTGGTTGTGTTCATTACCCTCAGACAAGGTGGTATGCATTTGATATTCCCCAGAAACAAGGAATAAAGGATTTGATGCTAAATTATAAATTTGTTAATAAAATATATGGGAATAGATCCAATGAAACACATTACTTAAGAACTTAATCTGTTTTAGAGGATGCATCATTAAACAAGTTAAAGAGAATTGTTATTTGGTGCTGAGAAAAAAGATTACCAAATTTGTAGAGTAAGGGAGTTTAAAAGCTTCATCTCATTCTATATATTCAAATAAGAGAATTAAAATAAACTATTAAGAATTAAACCACAAATAACCTAGAAGAAACTAGAATTATTTACCAACCCTTTGTAGGAAGGACTTTCCTAACTTAAGTAACAGAAGAAAGCAGGAAAAAATCCAACATATTTGAAAACAAAATTTAAAGAGAAATGGTTTAGAAAGAAATGTTAGCATACCAGCACAGTGGCTGATGCCTGTAATCCCAGCACTTTGGGAGGCCGAGGCAGGCAGATCACCTGAGATCAGGAGTTCAAGACCAGCCTGACCAACATGGAGAAACCCCCATCTCTACTAAAAATACAAAATTCGCAGGGCGTGATGGTGCATGCCTGTAATTCCAGCTACTCAGGAGGCTGAGGCAGGAGAATCTCTTGAACCTGGGAAGCACAGGTTGCAGTGAGCCAAGATAGCACTATTGTACTCCAGCCTTGGCAACAAGAGTAAAACTCCATCTCAGAAAAAAAAAAAAAAAAAAAGAAGTGATAGAAACAGAAGTAATCATTAGGATACCAAATACGAATTAAAGCAAAGACAGCTTTTTTTAAGTTTGTTTGCCAAGGTAGAAAAGACTGAATAAAAATATCCATTATTGGCAAAAGGGACAAGTAAAGACTAACTCTTTTCATTGCTAATGGTAGTATGAATTTGAATAAGCCTTTAAAACACAATTACACAATTAAAGACCTTTAAAAATGTTTTGCTCTATGGAAAGAAATTATATGCCCATGAATAAAAAGAATCAATATCATTAAAATGGCCATATGATCCAAAGCAATTTGTAGATTCAATCCAATCCCTATCAAACTGCCAATGACATTCTTCACGGAACTAGAAAAAAAAACTTTTTAAAATCCATATGGAACCAAAAAAGAGCCTGCATAGCCAAGGCAATCCTAGGCAAAAGGAACAAAGATGGAGGCATCATGTTACTGGACTTCAAACTACTGCAGGGCTACAGTAACCAAACCAGCACAGTACTGTCATAAAAACAGACACACACCAATGGAACAGAATAGAGAGTCCAGAAATAAGGTTACACACCTACAACCACCTGATCTTTGATAAAGCTGACAAAAACAAGCAATGGGGAAAACTATTCAATAAATGGTGCTGGGATAACTGGGTAGCCATACGCACAAGATTGAAACTGGACCCAATTTCCTTATATCATATACGAAAATCAACTCAAGACGATTTAAAGACTTACATGTAAAACTCAAGACTATAAAAATCCTAGAAAACAACCTAGGTGATAACATTCTGGACACAGGAATGGGCAAAGATTTCATGACAAAGATGCCAAAAGCAAGGGCAACAAAAGCAAAAACTGATAAATGGGATCTCACTAAACTTAAGAGCTTCTGCACAGCAAAAGAAACTATCAGCAGAGTAAACAGACATTCTACAGAATGGGAGAAAACATATGAAAACTACACATCAGACA